GGAATGCTGGTAATAAGTGTGAAAAATGTTTTTTTCAGTGACGTAACATTGAATGGTCACTAAATGAACTGCTGTAAGTTGAGGACTTCCTGTACAGAGAATCCTCAACTTACAACCATTTGTTTAGTGACCATTCGAAGTGCAACTGGTCTGAAAAAAGAGACAACCATTTTTCACACAACCGTTGGAGCGTTCCCCAGGATCACATGATCAACATTCAGACGCTTCGGACTGTTGGAGCATCCCCAGGTCACATGATCAAAATTTGGCATATATTTATGACAGTTTCACTGTCCCGGCGTCATGCAGTCATCATCTGTGACCTTCCCAGCCGGCATCTGACAAATCAGTGTGAGAAACCAGATTTGTTTAATAATAATACACATAACAACTGCTTAACAATGAGCAAAAAAGGTTGTAAAATGAGGCAGAACTCACTTAGCAACTGAAATTTCAGGTTCAATTGTGGACGTAAGTCGAGGACTACCTGTACAGGGTGTCCTTTTATTTTTTTTTCCTTCCAGTGCAAGAGACCTTTGCATTAATAAATCCAGAATATGATCATTTGGATCTGATCATTTGTGCCTTGTGGATTGATTTGTTCAGTGATCCATTTCTTTGTTTTCTTGGCTGTGCATCCCACTCTCCAATACCAAGCTACAGAAACATCAATATATAAATAAACGCACTAAATAAATAAATACAATTCCTATCTTGTTTCTTCGAAGTCCAACTTTTGCTTCCATAAAATGTCACAGGAGGGTAACCTGGCTTGTACCATTCTGATCTTTGTAGGTGTGAACGTATCACTGACATCTCAATATCCTTTCCAAAGCCTTTATGGCTGTTCTACCAACTTTTAATATCCAGCATATTTCTTTATGATGGTTTCTTTATTATGGATGATGAATCTCATCTGTGAGACTTTGATTGCTTGGGAGAGCAGGGACTGGGAAAAAGGCAGAGATATGGGCAGTAAGGAACAGATTCCCACTCAAAATGTGTGTAAGGCATTTTGACCTAGCATTTGAGGGAAAATATTGTTTTATTTTTTTCTGTTAGATTTAGATCTGCCTTTCCATCAGGACCTCAAAATCTAAAGACTTCCAGGTCCCACAAATCCAATAGCCAATAATGTGTTCACAGCATTGATTTTAAATTACAGCAGGTATAAGATTCCTACCTTACATAGATTGTTTTTTTGTATCTCTTTTATCTCTTAAACTTTTGGGATCTTTCTTGGAATCCAAGGAATCCTCTTTCCTTTCTCCTACTCCTTGACTAATACCACATATCACCAAAACAGCTTCATTTAAAAATGAAATTAACCATCATAAAACTGAACTTCCTAGGCCCCGGAGCAATTTGTGATTATGAACATTCTATAGTAAACGAGATTTGCACTATATGCTTTGTACATCGCCTCAAAATTGAAGCTTTCCCTTGCATGGAGAGGTTCTCATAAGAGATTAGCTTTACCTGTGGAATTTCTACCTAGCTAAAATAAAGCTTCCTCTGCAACTCTCTTTACCCACATTTGAATATGGGTCAATAAGCAACCCCTACAGTGTCTGATCTATTGGCCCCATGCTGGGAAGTCTAAATACGCTAGAAACATACTATTCTTCTTAAATACACATGTCTTGTTTAATCCTGAGGGCATAAGAGCTTGACCACATAAAACTGGTGGTTAAGAAGAGACACCAGTCCTGGAATCAATCTCTGATTAGATGTGTGGAAGTGGGTGACTAGCATGGATACTGGTGGATTGGGCAGAGCAACTATCAATCATTGCTAAAAGATTAACTGGCTTTTTAGTGGAATCCAAAAACCCATTGTGAAAGTAACTGCACTCAGACATAACAAAGACAGGCCAGCCTGCAAACGTTTAATCAAGAATGGCTGGTGTTTCCTGTTCCTGGACACCACATTCTCCGTAGTGATTTTGGCATCACATCCTCCTGAATCAGGTAATAAATTAGGTGGACTTTTCTGGTTGTATTTTTTAAGTATTCTACTGTTCCCCATACGTGTTCCTATTTTTCTCCCTCTGTTTTTTTATATTTACACCCATGGGATATTCTCGTTTTCACAGGAAGGGTTTTTTTAAAATTAATTTTCTCCTGCGAGAAAATTCCCTCAGCTATTCTTAAAGAATTTGAAGCCTGAAAATCGGGAAAAAGTTTTGTTTTTTTCCCCTAGAAAGATCCAAAGGGAAGGATCTTTGGGAAAACTTAAGCAATTGCTGATTGTTTTAAAGCATAAGTTGGCAGTCTCTTTCTGCTTATGAAATCTTGCTAAAGATTGGTCCATTTTTGGTCAAGTTCGGTCCCTAGTAGCTTACAATCACGTAAACTTCTTAGCATCATATAGAAGAAGCTGGGGCGTGTTTTTATAGATTTTTTTTTAAAAAAATATTATTATTTTGGAGAATGTCATGGTAGCACCATCTGCCCAGTGAATTTGAGCTATGTGGATTGAGGCCTATTAAACTTAGTTATACCTTTTTAATTCAGCAATATTTGGTTGAACTGGGGACATCATATGCCTATTATCCTTTGTTTCAAATTTTCCAACTTGATTTTTACTCTGTCACTTTTAATCAACAACTGAGTATCCCGAACCTACAGTTTCATAATCATACCTTTATTTCTCAATTTTGGCAACTTTTAAGAACAATGGACTTCTACTCCCAGGATTCCCTAGCCAGTATGCTGGCTGGAGAATTCTGGGAATTGAAGTCCACAGATTTTAAAGGGGCCCAGGTTGAGAAATATTGGATTATATTATTTATATCTGCAGTTCAGACACTTCTTAACCCTTGTTGTTGTAGCAGAGCCCAAAACGTTGTTTAAGGTTCTGGGGTTACTTAGATCAGTTCTTTTGTTTATGGCAATAAAAGTACCAGTTAATGTAAACAATGCAGGTTAGCTTTTTCAAATGCAGAGAAGGTCACCCAGGAAGTAGGAACAAACAGAGGACAGTTTTTTAAGAAGTTAGTGAGGAGAGATTCACTGCCTTCATCAAGCATAGAGCAGGTAGATATTAAACTGGTGTAACTTTACCTCAGCCTGGTCAAAGTTGGGTGTGAGAAGCAGGACATGAGAATAATATTACTTAGATTTAATTTTAATCACAACATACATGAAATAAAAATTAGTTTTGCTTTTCATCCTGTTCTGAACCTCTTACTCAACCCCTATCCCACAAAGGATTTGTGGGGCCCTTGTCTTAGACGTGGGGCCCTCCTCAGGTGATCTAGAATCTCAACCAATGTATTCTTATCTTTACCTTTTCCATGGTTTCCATTCGAGTTGTATTCACACAGTCCAACTATGTTCACCTGCACAAAAATCCAGCCGCAAACTAATCATATCCGCCTATGGGAGTGACAACTTTTTCTCCAGTCACTTTGCTTTTCCAAACAGATAAACATGTTTTTCAGCATTAATTTGAATTAAAGAGTGAGCCAAGTGGGAAATAAAGTTATTATTGTTATTAGTGAGAAATAAAGATAATATTATTACAGGTAACCCTTGACTTACAACCACAATAGGAATCAGAATTTCCATTGCTAAATGAGGTGATTGCAAAGTGAGTCATAGCTAATGTTACAAATTTCTTTTTTTTTGCCATAGCTAAGTGAATCATTGAAGTTGTTAAATGAATAATGCACTCCTTAAGCAAATCTGGTTTCCCCCATTGACTCTACTTCCCAGAAGCCTGTTGGGAGGTCACAAATGGTAATCACATGACCCAGGGATGCTGCAACCATCATAAGTACATGTCACTCGCTTTAAAAAAAAAATGGTCATGTGACCACGAGGATGACAGGTTGCTTGTAAGTGCAAGGACCAGGGCTATGTCATGTTTTCAATGTTGCTGTAATGAATTTATGTTTTACCAACAAAGAATTAAATGGAGGCTAGTATAGATCTATTTCAAGCTATTTAGCTCCTCATCAGCTAGCTCAGGGGTCTGCAATCTACAGCTCTGGAGCCGCGTGTGGCTCTTTCGGCCCCTGGCTGTCCCCTCCTGTCATGCCCCTGGAGGAAGACGAACAGCTGACAGCGAGTGGGAGTGTGGATCCCTTGGCTATGGTGGAAACTGGGGAAGGGTGAAGTCTGGCTGGGCGGAGCAGGGGAGAGGTAGAGGAAGGGAGAGGGAATTTAGAGGAAGACCCAGGCCCACCCCCTCTTCATCCTAGGGCACGCAGGGAGGAACGGAGAAGGGAGCAACGTGGGTTGCATGGCTCATTGGGGAAAAGTTGGAGATAATAAAAGGATTCTTATTGATTATCTGACCATGTTGCTTTTGTGCCATCCTCCGGGTCATCACACCTTCCCCCTCCCTGTCATCCTCATCTGGCCTGAGAAGGTAAGGGGGGTGGCGGGGAATGGAGACTCACTCCATATTCCAGACCAGGAGGTGACTGGATGGGAGTGAGTGATGTCAAGTTGGCCATGCCCACCCAGACACACCGGTTGTTTAAATTACTGGCTCCCAGTGTTTTCTTTTCTGTGGAAAATGGGCCCAAATGGCTTTTTGAGTGTTTAAGGTTGTAGACCCCTGGGTAGCCATATCCTTTTGGGATTCGAACCCGGACTACTTGCATATTAAATAGATGTATTAACCTACCTAATATTATGAATAATATTAATTAATAATAATTAAACTTAATTAATAAATTAAACGGAAGCAGTATGCTCCGTCTCATAATTTGGTAGACCAGGTTGCCCTGACAAAAAAAAACACTTAATGTTGTTGTAATGGTGAATGGTTACTAAACAAATGGTTATAAGTCAAGGACTCCCCATATTTTTGTTAACATTAGCGTTTATATTGCCTTTTTTTCTGAGAACTCAAAGCATATATGGAACAGGCCACATCCCCACCATAAAACAACTCTGTGACCCAAAATCAACCAAGGAAGTCACTTGAACCCAGGTCTGTCCATGCAAATCCAGGACCTGCAATAAAAGGGTTACACTTCAGCCTTTTCAGCAGCTTGATCCAGAATTTTGGTAGGGCATATCCAGCAAAGCATCAGTGGGGACCTCCAAGTCAGGAGCATCCAGGATCAATGGTTCACTTTGTCTGTAAGAGGAGGGAACTTCTAAAATGCAGGCCTTTAGATCCGCATATGCCTGGGGCATCGTCCCCAGGTTGACCCAACGGTCATGAGAAGGGTTGTAGCAGTGAATGAGATGCGTATCTCGGTAGGTATTGTGGCTATACCCTCCTAGGACGTACAGTTCCCCGTTCAGCACGGCAGAGGCAGCGATGACATGAGCTTGGGGAAGAGGACGCAACCTGACCCACACATCCTGATCTGGGCTGTACACCTCGCAGGCCAGTTGGTCAGCGTAGCCCCCGTGCCCGTCCCGCCATCGTAGACCACCAGCCACATAGATCCGCCCATCCAGCACCTCCATGATGTGCCCGGCTCGCTCTTCCTGCATGGGAGTCAGAAGGAGAGGTGGGCCATCTGGGCAATACCGAATCAGAGAGGATTGGCAGCGGCATGAGCCGTCGCTGCCTCCCGTGATGTAGATCCATCCATCCAGGACACAAGCTGCATGGCCACAGACTGGGGTGGGCAAGGGTGCGCAAGGCCTGAAATAAAATAAGGGCGGAAATAAATAAAGGAAAATTAAAGGTAAAGTAAAGGTTTCTCTTTCAAGTTGTGTCCAACTGAAAGATGTGGTGCTCATCTCCATTTCTTAGCTGAGGGAGCCTGCATTGTCCAAAGACATTTTCTATGGTAATTTGGCCAGTGTGGCTATATGCCAAAGGCACAGAGAACACTATTACCTTCTTACCAAAGTGGTACCTATTAATCTATTTACTTTTGCATGCTTTTGAACTGCTAGGTGGGTAGGAGCTGAGCGAGCAACAGGAACTCATCCTGTTATATAACTCTCACATCTCAAACCCAAGCTGTCAGCTTTCCAGCATCTTTAATGGCTGAACCATTGTGTCCCTCTAAAGAAAATTTAGGGACATGAAAATAACTGCTTTGCTTGAGCATAGAGTGTGGTGTTTAGCTAGCCTGTCAAAACCCAATAAATTATTTATGAAAAACAGATATTTAAGTTCTCTTCTGAAATCATGCCCCTTCAGATTTATAGGGTGTCCTTGGCTTAAAACAATCGAGCCCCAAATTTCCATTGCTAAGCGAGGCAGCTCTTAAGTGAGCTTTGCCCAATTTTACAACCTTTCTTGCCACAGTTGTTAATGAATTACTGCAGTTGTTAAATTAGTAACACAGGTGTAAAGCGAATCTGGATTCCCCCGTTGATTTCACTTGTCAACCATCATAAACTTGAGCCAATTGCCAAGCATCCAAATTTTGGTCATGTGACCACGGAGATGCTGCAACCATCGTAAGCATGAAAAAGAATCATAAGTCACTTTTTTTCGGTCCTGTTGTACTTTCAAATGTGTAGGAGATAACAAGGCAAAGCCTGAGGGAGGAGGAGTCAAATGCATTATAAGTCAGGAATCTCTTCGTGCCCACAAGAAACCTAAGTCCAGCCCACTGTGAATTCTTTATCTACCACTAAATTGCTTTAACTGTTAGTAGTTGGGATTCTTGTAGGGAGCTTAAGCTTACTTAATCTTTATATCTATTTGAACTGCCTGGGTCTCCTGAATTCTCTGGCCCTTGACAGAATGGTTACTAGTGAAAGGTTGTAAGTTGAGGACTACCTGTATCCTTTGCAATGCATGGTCTCCAGACCTGGACCTAGCATCTCTGTTGAAGTCACCATGAGCTCCTACCTCCATGTGTTGCTCTGAGGTTCATAGCACTCCACAGAATCCAGGCAATAGACCTCATTGGAGCTCCCCCCAAAAGCATAGAAGAAACCACACAGGAAAACTGCAGGAAAATAGCTCCGGCAATTGGTCATGTCAGCTAGTCGCTCCCAACTCCCGCAAAGAGGATCAAACCTGTAAAAGGAGGAATAAGGATTCTCTGTGGAAACAAAGCCACAATGTAAAAAGAGATGTTGAGACTCTAGAAAGAATGCAGAGAAGATCAACAAAGATGATTAGGGGACTGGAGGCTAAAAAGATATGAAGAACAGTTACCGGAATTGTGTATGTCTAGTTTAATGAAAAGAAGAACTAGGGCTGACATCAAAGCAGTTTTCCAATATCTAAGGGACTGCCCAAAGAAGAGAAGGAGGTCAACCTATTTTCCAAAGTGCCTGAAGGCAGGACAAGTAGCAATCGATGGATGAAAACTAGTCAAGGAGAGAACCAACCTATAACTAAGGAGAAAGTTAGAACAATTAATCAAGTGGAACAACTTAACTCCAGAAGTTGTGAATGCTCCAACACTGGAAGTTTTTAAGAGATTGGACAGCTATTTGTCTGAAATAGTATAGAGTTTCCTTCTTGAGCAACAGGTTGGACTAGAAGATCTCCAAGGTTCCTTCCAACTCTTTTATTCTCTTATTCTGTTAACTCTGTCTCCCACTTGGTTATAAATGGACCACTGGTCCTTATTCCTGGGCAGTCCGTGTGCCAAATATGTTCCTTCTGGTTAAGAAAGTCTAACTACAGACATTCTGGTTCTTATTTCTCAGCTGCACAGTCCATATGTAGAAAGTTGGCTAATTAGTGTTTGCAAGGGGACCTAGAAGCCACAATCCCTCCTGGACCTTCTTAAAACCTTCTGGGATTTATCAGGCTATGCTTTGATTTCTACAACATATTCAGCTGGATAATATAAAGGAGAGATGTGTTATGGAAACACAAAAAGGCAGTTTAATCAAAGATGTGGTTACACAATCCAAAGTAGCATTGGATAGATACTTGATGGGACAGTTATTTAACCAAATCAGGCCATGTAGAACAAAATCAGACCAGTGGGTTAGTTGTCTTTTCTGCCCTTGAGACACATGGGCAGAATCCTAAAAAGCAACTCCTGAAGCACTCTATTTCTGTGGGGTGTCAGGAATAAGTTGCTTCCCTACCCATTCTGTTCTAGGTTTTTGGAGCCCTGCAGATTTTACTCTATTTTTTTCTGAACTGTGGGAGGGAATCAAAAGTTGGAAGATGGCCAAGTTCCTCATTATAATGATCCCAACTTCTCATATAACATGGATAGATGGATGGATGGATGGATGGATGGATATAAATTGTTGCTAGTTCACCCCACAGTGCTTTTTCAAAAGGCAATTGGACTTTGTTTTTCTTTGAAGACATTTTGCTTCTCATCCAAGATGCTTCTTCAGTTCTAGAAGAAGCTTCTTGGATCAGAAGCAGAACATCTTCAAGGAAAAAGATGATAGATAGATAGAATTCTTTATTGGCCAAATGCGATTGGACACCCAAGGAATTTGTCTCAATGCATATAAAAGTAGTGTACATAAAAGGAAAGACACATTCATCAAGATTCAAGAATCATAAGGTACATCACTCATAGGGTACAATAAGAAATCAAATCATACTAGTAAACAGTCAATAAAATTGTTAGGATATAAGCAACAAGGTTACAAAGTCCAGTTTCCTTTTGTAAAAGCACCTTTGGAGTAACTGTGATCTGCATGACTGGGAATCTCCATAGACATTTTGCTAGTTCACTGACTTCATCATGAATCTTGGGGACACAGTGGCCTATGATGAGTCCCCAACCAGTATTCCCAATCTCTGGAGAACCATATAAAAACTTTTTCAGCAGCTCTCAGCTCTAGTTATAGATACCTTCATCAGAAATGCTGTTTGTTTCCAGCATTCATTTATTTCTCTCCCTCATACTCACAACCATCAGATGTTTCATTGGACCTTAAACCTGACATCTTCCCACTCTTACTCAAAAGTATCTTCACCAAATGGGACCGCATCTGTTCTCTCCCTCCTTCCCAATTCTCGTCTTCAAGCAGCAGGTCTTCCAACTCACCTGAACACTGAACACATGGTATCCCTGACGCCATAATAATGCTTTCCCCCAAAGAGGTACATCTTATTGTCCTTGACCACTACAGCATGCCGGAATCGTGGTTTCTCTGGGAGGTATCCAAGACGACGCCACTCTACTTGTTTGACCAAGCCGATGCCGTTGAGGAAGCGGTGGGTGAACCAAAAATCCTGGCATGGACTGCGAGTAGCCATATTTTTTGTCAAAGTATCTCCTCCGCTAATCACAATGACCTTCTCTGGATATCTCACCCGGCAAGGAAGTTGCTCCATCTTAGAAGGGCCTGGTGGAATGCTAGCTAAGGATTGAACCATGAGGTTGTAGAGGCGACCAGGATCAGCCATCATCTCTTCTTTCCTCACCTGTTTGAGTTCTCGGTTGGACATCAGTGGGAATCTGATGCAGTGCAACATTTTTTCGGCACAATTCATCCGCCCAGTCCAGTCAGCAGTCAACCAACGGACGGCTCCTTCGAAAGCTTCTAGTTCATTGAGGATGTAGAGTGAATCAGAACTGAGGAAGTCCACCAGCTGGTTTACAGGAAGATCTAGGAACTTTGGTGTTTTCATGACAAGAGCAAAGGTGTTTAATATAAACTTCTCTGCAGTGTTTTCAAGATCGTGTAGGCCATAAGCATGGGCAAAAGACAGAACATCCAAACAGGTTTCTGGAGTGAGCTTGTAGCGGAACAGATCCAGACAGAGGTCCAAGATGCCAGAGACCTGATACTGAAGAGCAGCTTGTGCAGCTTCAAATATATAATCCCACCCACCTCTCAGCACTCCTGAGTAAGCAAAGGAGGTGATCAGCCCCAGGTCAGCTGCAGTGAATTGGGTGCAAAGAGGAACGTTGGCCTGTTGAGTTTCCTTCATGCCACTGGTAAACATACCATGGAAGAATTCACAGCCACAAGCCAAGGCCAAGCGGTGAACTGAAAATAGAGAAGATGAGATCAGAAATTAAGAGACTAAATCTTGGCCACAGATCAGAATGCCCTAACTCTGAGACAACTCCTACCCCAAAATCTACAGTTTCCCAATTCTTCCCAACCCACTGATGCATTGCATTCTTAATTTTTTGCTTCCCTATCAACTCTACCTTATTCACCTCAGAATAACAGAGTTGGAAGGAACCTTGGAGGTCTTCTAGTCCAATCCCCTGCTCAAGCAGGAAACCCTATACCATTTCAGACAAATTATTGTCCAATGTCTTCTTAAAACCCTCCAGTGTTGAAGCACCCACAACTTCTGGAGGCAAGTAATTCCACTGATTGATTCCATTGATCTAACTGTCAGGAAATTTCTCCTTAATTCTATTTGTTTTTCTCCTTGATTAGTTCTCATCCATTGCTTCTTATTCTGCCTTCAGGTGCTTTAGAAGATTGGTTGATTGGGGGCCTCCTTCTTTATGGCAGCCCCTTAGATATTGGAACACTACTATTGTCACCTCTAGTCCTTCTTTTCATTAAACTAAGACATATCCAATACCTCGAAATGTATCTCCTTCAGCTTTAAGTTCGGTGTCCCAACCAATGCCTTCATTGTACAGCTCTTCTAGCCTCTGTAGCGTCTTCCATTTCTCTTCCACTGGACTCAATCTGCCCTCATTCTCTGTCCCTATCAACACTGCCTTGCATATTTCAGCCACACGAGGGACACCCAGGGCCTCAGCTGCATCTAAGATGTCTTCAGCCATGATTGGAGTAGGCTCTAACTCTCCTGTGTAGGCAAAATTCAAAATGGCCTCCCAGCCAGATGGCGTGGTCACACTGTCCAGATTCATCCCTTCTTGTACCCCGCTCTCTAGACGCTGCAGAAAGACAGAGCTGACTGCAGCCAGAAGGATGCTGTGGGCTTTGTAGTCCTTTTGACCCAAAGTCACGGCTGTATCCACAAGGAGATCCTGTTCCCTCAGCTGGAGAGCTGCAGTGAAAAATCCTTCTGCGTGGCCCTCACTCCGCAGTTCCAACTGTTGTTCTGTTGGAGTTTCCATCACCTCTGGGAGTTTCTCCACGCCGGTCATCCTGTTCTGAAAAGAAGATAGTTATGAAGGGGGAGGGAAAATCCTAACTCACAGCTGCATGATCCTTGTATTAGTATTACATAACCAATCTAACCAAAATGATTCTTAGCACTCCTCATCAGAGAAGCAACATCAAAAATACTACTCTATTCCTTTCTTTTTAATAACATCTCAACTAGTAGATTTGGGGAAACCAGAAACTTTTCATGTTGTCTTCTTTTGGTTAATCCTAAATCATCATCATCATTGTGTCATCAAGTTAAAGATCTCCCTCCCACAAACTGTGATTGCTTCTTATGATCCAGTGAAAGCATGGAAAACTAAAAAGGGACTTAAATGTAATTCTGATGTTTAAAGCTTGTATAGTAAAAAGTAAAAAAAAAGATGCATTAGAAAGTTTTGGGGGGTTTTTTAAGTGTTTTTTTTTTAAGTTTAGCACTTGAAAAAAAGGGTGAATAAAAAAGGGGATTTTTTTTTCTTCAGTAAGGTCAAAGAATTTGAAAGAATACAATTAATCTGTTCATGAAAATGGTGACTGTTCACAAAGATTATTTGGTGCAAATAGAAATACACCATTTCCATAGCAAGAAAGATAAAGCAGGAATGTTTAAATTGATTATTTTATCCAAAGAGGAAAATATATTCCCATTTGGATATTACTTCTGAATTTTGTTCTTGTGATGGGAAAAATGTGAAAAAATTGAGTTTGGTTTTGTTGATCTGAAAGATTTGTCGTTATAGAAATTATTAGTTATATATTATGGTGTAAAAGCAAAAAATTGAGGTTGGAGTGTTTTTATCTTGTACTGTATTAAGAACAATCAGAAGTTAATACCTTTTTTTTCTGGTTTTTTTTTTCTGTTCCCCTCTTTTCACACCCTCTTTTCACTGCTTCTTTTCTTTCCCTTAATTTCCTATTTTTTATTTTTTTTTCCTTTGTATTTTACATAATAAAAAATTGTAATACGGAAAGCAATAACGGAGCATGAAAGAATGACTAAATACATACAAGTCCTTGATTTATGACCACAATTGAGCCCAAAGTTTCTGCTGTTAAGCAAGACAGTTGTTAAGTGAACCTGGCTTGCTCATTGATTCAGATTGTCAGAAAGTCACAAAAAGCAACACTACAACCATCACAAATAAATGCCAGTTGCCAAGCATCTGAATTTTGATCACGTGACCATGGGGATGCTGCGGTGGTTGTAAGTGTGAAAACCAGTCGTAAGTCATGTTTTTCGTGCCATTGCAATTTAGAATTGTCACTAACCAAATGGACTTAAGTCTAGGATTTCCTGTACTGCCCTCAAGTCATTATAAACCCAGCACACAAAGTAGTTGTGTATAGGATGAATATCACACTTTTTTCACTGTTTAGAAAACATTAAATATCATATACTGGCTCCTAGAATTGATTGGTATTCCTTTAAAAATCTACAGACACACAATTTGCCAGGATAGTTTGATATGTTCTCTTCAATACCCCATTCTCTCCCCCCACCCAAAAAACCAACGACTACTACATAACCAATGCATAAGGGAATAATGGAAATGAATATGGCTGTGTGTGTTTGAACTGGAAAACGATATGTTGTGCTTGCAGTTTTGTGACCCGAATCAGAGATTAACACTCCCTTATTAAACAATTGGAAATTAGGAGTTCCCTCCTAATTTCTGGCAATAATTGTTTTCTCGGTGTTTCCTCCCAGTTCATGAATACAATTCCATTTTGTTCTGAATGAGGGATCAGATCCACTCAAAGCGTTCAGCCCTGTTTTGTTTTGTAAGTCACCATTGGCTTTGCATAGCACGCTCTGCCATAAGCTATTGACAAACCACAGTGGTTTGGATTCATGCAACGTCTTGAGCCCCAAACGGTCATGACTCACGCTATGTCTCAGCCTTAGTGTGATGTCTGATCTCAGGTAGTCTACGAACGAGCCTTGTCTCTTGTTTGGGATGTTCCTTTATGTTCACAAGGCTTATCATTTTTCCATCGGTTCTTAGAGAACAATCACGTCTGAGCTGTAATGATGACCATGTCTGTCTGATGCATGAAGTAAGGAACAGGATGGACATGCAGATCCCACAGAAGAGTCTTCCCAAGTGCATGCATATCGCACGACCCTTAAGCCCTTCATCCTCAATCCTCCCACATTGATAGAGCTGATTCATAACTCCCTGGGGAGGATTCCTTAGCTCAAATCTCTCACCTGTGTCTGCCGAGACAGAGGGGGTCCTTCTTGGACCTTCGTGGTATCCGTAGCTATGGCATGACCTCTCTGGTATGCTGACCATTGGCTTTGATGCTAACTTGCAAAGTTAATTATAGCCAGGCGCAAGATATTAAAAGGGGAGAGGATGGGCAGACAAGACTGGCTGGTTATGTTTAGCTTTGATTTCCAGCCCATGCATTAACTTAGCAAATGAAATATGATATTCCCATATGCCACAGAAGGAAATAAAGCCATTTCCTAACTGTCCAATCACAGGTACTAATTGGGTTTCATTGTTACTGGACTGCCTTATTATGCTGAAAAAGCAAAATAAATCCTTGTTCATTTAACGTTAGCCCAGACAAATTATTTTCACATACAGGTAGTCCTCGACTTGCAACAGTTCATTGTGAGGGACCATTTGAAGTTGCCACGACACCGAAAAAAAAATGACTTGTGACCATTTTTCACACTTATGACCTTGGCAATGTGATTTAAATCCGGGGGCTTGACAACTGGTTCATATTTATGACGGTTGAGATGTCCCATGGTCATGCAATCCCCTTTAGTGACCATTGGACAAGCAAAGTCATGGGGAAGCCAGATTCACTTAACGACGGTGTTACCAATTTAACAAATGCATTGATTCACTTAAGAGAGCAACATAAATTTTTGGGCTCATTTGCAGTCATAAGTCCAAGACGGCCTGTACTGATTTTGCTCTCCCTGTCTTTTTTTTTAAAACCAGTGATGTCTCTCTCTGTGTGCATATTGCGTATTTATCTGAATACACACAGACAAGAGAGAGACACACAAACTACAGAGAGAGGGGGGGAGGGAGGGAGAAAGAGAGAGGGAGGGAGGGAGAGAGGG